ACATTTAGACCCTTACACATTTCACAATATCTGAACACCTAAAATACAGATACTTGAGGCTGTTTGACCTTGGCTTGTTACTTGGCCATTCCTAGTTGCCAGATTATAGAACGAGAGGTCTCAAAATTCTGCTCCCGAAATTAGTAACTTCAGGGAAGAAGAAACTGTATAACCTACTAAAGCACATAATATTCTCCCACATATTAGTGCTATTAGTCTTTCATTCTACCCACATTGATGACTACATGACCAACAATCAGCAAATATAATGTCATTGATTATTTTTTAGAGAGGCCATAAACTGCAAGGCATAGAGCACTGCTGGCAATGATAGTACCTCTTAAAAGAACGTGAAGAGCTAGCACAAAGTAAGCTGAACTAGTGATGATAATGATGAATAAATTTTAAAATATATTCAATTACAGACAGGACCTAGGTCTATTCCACCAATTGTGTTTAAGGAAGTCACCTGTCTGTAATTTGCTTCTTGACCCACCATATGATACGAAACAACAATACAGAAGCTCTTTCGACACTGACATGTTTTTTAAGTTGTTGAATTGCTTACAGAATACAGGCAAAAATCTTAAATTTCATCCAAAACCAGAGGTTTGAACCTACAGTGAAAATTCGAGATTTATTTTAAATAATGTCTATACTTAACAAATACTAAGAAGGGACATCCAATTCTTGTGCTGTGGTCGACACACTGGAGAGAAGGGATGCCATCCAGAGGAACGTTGACAGGCTTGAGAGGCGGGCCTGTGCAAACCTCATGAAATTCAACAGGGAAAAGTGCATGGGTTGGGGTAATTGCAAGCACAAGTACAGGCTGGGTGGAGAATGGATCAATACCAACCCTGAGGAGAAGCACTTGGGGGTGTTGGTAAATGAGAAGCTCAACATGAGCTGGCAATGTGTGCTGGCAGCCCAGAGAGCCAACTGTATCTTGGGCTGCATCAAAAGAAGCATGGCCAGCAGGTTGAGGGAGGTGATTCTGCCCCTCTGCTCCACTCTCCTGAGACCCCACCTGGAATACTGTGTTCAGCTCTGGAGTCCCCAACACAAGAAGGACATGGAGCTGCTGGAGCGAGTCCACAGGAGGGCCATGAAGATGATTTGAAGGTTGGAGCACCTCTCCTATGGGGACAGGCTGAACAACCCCAACTCTCTAAGGGAAAGCTCCAGGGAGACCTTCTAGCAGCCTTCCAGCACCTAAAGGTGGCCTACAAGAAAGCTGGAGGGGGACTTTTTACAAGGGCATGTAGTGATAGGACAAAGGGCAATGGCTTTAAACTGAAAGAGGGTAGATTTAGATTAGATATAAGGAAGAAATTCTTCACTCAGGGTGGTGAGGCACTGGAAGAGGTTGCCCGGAGAAGTTGTGGATGCCTCATCCCCAGAAGTGTTCAAGGCCAGGTTGTATGGGGCTTTGAGCAACCAGATCTAGTGGAAGTTGTCCCTGCCCATGGCAGAGGGGTTGGAACTAGATGATCTTTAAGGTCCCTTCCAACTCAAACGATTCTATGATTCTTAACTGGCAGTATACTTCCATTTCCAGCTTAAGCAACCAAAGGTAAAGAGATGGGGAGTGTGGGTGCGGAGGACAGATATCCTGATATCTGCCTGGAACAATCTCTGCCTCCCTTGGAGTTCCTTTGTTTCGGCTTGTTTTGTTTTGAGCTGCAAGAACTCTGCAAATGGGTGTTCCCAGCTTCTGGCAGCCATATGTGCTGCCTACCATCTGTTTTCATTCCACTGTGCTACGGAGACAAACATACTTTATTTTTAGTGTTCTACATTTCCTGATGTTGCACATAATAGGGATTATATCTCACATCTAAGCCACTATATGTGAAAAATCTTCCGTGGGCAACTGATGAGTAAAGGTGATAGATTATCACACAGGATCAGAAGAGTTAATTTTCACTACCTGCTTCTCAGTGCAAGTATATAATTTACACTGAAGTTTGCTTGATTCCTGTATGCCTGTGCTTTCTCTCTATACTGCCTACAAGGGGCCTCCTTTATATGTTGTAAAGATACGTTTTCCCAGCAACTTCCTGGGGTGCAGGAAATTACTACTACAGCTTCGATAGTTGCCATTAGTGGTTGCTATTCTGCATGCAGCATTCAGAGTCAAAACAGGATATGAAGAAATAAACATCTGTATGATCAACTGTAGAGAGACAACAGTGCAGTACAACAAATACTTGCTTGAAAGGAGGAATTCTGTGCACAGCCTCCCACATAGTTCTGTTGGAAACCATCCACTCCAAAATTAGTTTGCAAACATTAATTAGATAGTACTGTACTTATACAAAATTTGATTGAAAAAGATTTCACTGCTACACCTCAGTGCAACGTTCGAAGGCACCCACAGCACACTGGACAACTAGTAATTCTTTAAAACGCACCACACTAAACTGAATTCTAGAAAACACTGCTGGTTTTACCTAGATTGACATTAAGTCATGCATTTCTAGTTAACAGTATTTTTTTTTCTTTCTTCATTTAACTTCCCTCCCTCAAAATTCTATGAAGCTGAGTAAGCACCGACTCTTAGCTACATCTGCCCTCATCAACATCACCTACAACACAACCAGCATCATAACATTGCCAGCGTAACTTAATACCCATATTTTTAGAGCACATTACAGCACAGATCTTTCCACCATATAATATTGCAAATTCAGGATACTGTAAGTTATTATTAAGCAACTATTGATTAATTACCTCTGGTTTCAAAAAATAATTAAAAATTTACTGAGTTGCACTGAAATCAAGTTGAATAGAGAAAATTAGTGCCTTTAAAACCACTTACACATGAAGAGATTCAAAATGTTCACTGTTTATAGGATACTCCAAAAGACACCTGAAGGAATTCCATTTAACTTTTTCAGATTAGGTCTATTCAGTCAGAGGTTTTTACTCATTAATTCTTTCCTAAAATAAGCACTTTTATTCATTGCATGCGATCTTACAAATACAGAAGAACTTCTTGATTAATTAGATTGGTGAGGCATTTTTCAATCTTTTTAAATCATTCAAACATTTTAATAACAGACTTCAACTGCTCTACTGTTTGAATGGATGATTTTATTAAGTTATCTGCAGCAATAACTCTTCCCCCAGAGATACTGACCAGAATTGTGAGAAAATTACTTTTATCTTACTGCTTTTAAATTTATTCTGCCTTCTGCTTTCACATTATCAAATGCAGTTAAGCTGTTCTCCAATTCCTCATAGTCCTCTATTTTAAGTAATACACCCAAGATATAATTTGTCTTAAAATGGCATCTTTTTCAGTCATCAAAATCATTAAGCGGAAACATTTTTGTTGTTTGATATCACTAAGTAATTTTTTTTTTCCTATTTTCTTCCAACATAGTATACAGATTAGCCTAATATATTTTTTTGCTGGATTCCCACTCAAAATCTCAGAACTAGCATTTAGCTGAAACTAATTACAGGAGGAGTTTTGAATGGAGACTGGCAAATTCACTCTTCCATACAGTTCCCATGTCACTATGTTGTTCTGTATTAAGGGAGTGAGTCTAATTCCCCTCAAACCATTAATTTACATTCTGAAGCAAAGCACATAATCTATCATACATCATTGTGTCACTCCTGAGCTGCCGTAACCTACTACTTTTTAAGATGTCTGTGGTATAATTTTGATGTCCATGCTTACTGTGCATATGCAGTTTCCTTATAAAATCTGAATAGCTTTACATTTGCTTAGATTTGTTGAAAAGTCAAACATTTATTTCGATGTAAATAATTTTTGACAATAATTTCAAATCAATACAGTGGTTGGAAGGGTCAGAAAAAAGAAACAAAAAGTTTTAAAAACACTGATCTTGAAAACATCACTTCTAATTTTCACTTATTTTAAAACTGAATATAGTTTGAACTTTGCATTATAGTCCTGTAATGGAGAATTTCTTGTACAATCCAGCCATAGCTCTCCTCAAATTCTCTGATAAAGACTATCTAATCTGAACATTCACTTTATTCACAGCACTGCTACATCAGACATCTCCTAGGTAGCAGTTTTTATTATACTCAATGCAAAGAAATTTAAACCCTGCATTAAGGGACAAAAAACTTGTATATTCTTTTACATCAAATTTGAGAAAAGCATTCAAAGTAACTCAAGACAATAGCTTAAAAAGTTATTTCAACCTACACACTTAATAAAACTTTTTAAAAGTGGGCTAATTTGAATTTATATAATTAAAAGGTATTTATAATGAATAATCTATTTTTTCATAGAAAAAAATCTGATGTTCTTATTTGGTTTTAAGTCTCAATTTCATATTACAGGCCATGACAATTTTAGGTACATAACAAACATTTCTTTCAAAATTAGTTTCTTTACCTAGCACACCATCTTATTTCCAAACATTTATCAGTATTAAATGTAAGTTTAATACTTGGATATATAACAAGATCATTTTAAGATTGTTTCAATATTTATCTCAATATTTATCTCAATTTCAACTCTTTTGGTTATTACATAAAATCATTTTTCTCTTAAAATGTCTAAGTCTGATTATTCCTTAAAATATTTTTAAAATCATCACAAGCAGCTGTTGTAATAGGAAAACAGAATTCAAACTGTTTTTCCAAGGAGCAGATTATAAAAACCTTAGCAAGTCAACCCCAAAACTTCAAATTAAAATCGATTACAATTGCTCTGTGCTCTTATGATCACATTTTGCTTCCTAAAAACTCTTTCCTTTTCATGATAAAGTTTGAGAAAAGGGTATTTAATGGTTCCACCCCTTAATTTTTCTTTGTTTTTAAAGCGAAGAATTTTCATTGTCATGTTTACCTATTCAATACATGTGCAGTTTCAAGTTGGCTAAATGGAAGCACTGAAACAGGAAATAACTGCCAGCAGGACAAACAGGAACTGCCAACCAAATCTTCGTGTTGTATCCATGGTATAACATCTTCAAGGAATCCAAAGAACATCTCTTCAATTCAAGTTCTCAGAGGTCATGGAGTTTTATAATTATCTCCAAGCAATTTTCTCCACATCCTGTTAAGCTCTCTCTAAACAGCTGTGTGTGTTGCCATGCAGCTTCACCATCCCCTCCATTTAGAATTGCTTCCAACGTAACTTCTGTTGCACCAGAAAACTCTGAACAGGAGCAAAGATTTTTATCTATTGGAGGAAAAGATACACAAGTCAGTAAGCCATTGCTCCAGACACGATATAACGCTAGAATGCCTGCTAAAAAGAGTAACTCGTAATAAATGCTGAAGGATCTCAGTTGCAACTACTCAGATTCATCAATCAGTGGCAGGAAAAAAACAAACAAACAGCTGCAAATTTTTACTTATTATTTGTTTAGTGCTCAGGTTCAGAGAATCTAGTCAAGACTGAAGCCACCAAACATGGAAGCATCTATCCTTCCTAGTAAAACACACAAGTATCTTGTATCCGCTCTGTAGATACACTGTGTTCCTGCTAAGCCGGCTCTGTTGCAGGTAGGGCTGTGTATATTAATAAAACTGGGTTTGTACCAGTTTTGATTAAAGGCACAGTATTTTCTTGACCTTGCTAAGAAATACCGAGTTGGAAAAGTCAAAATTAATTTGCATTTAATTTTTAGTATTTGCACAGCACTCTCTCCATATAAACTATTTATTTTCAGTTATACCTTTCCTGCATGATATAATTCATCACACTTACCTCCTATCAGAGGAATTTCTGCTGTTGGAGAGCTTAGTCTCCACTTTATTCTTCCACTCTGAAATGTCTGACTGCTTGTCCTAACCGAAATGTTATCTATTTTTAGACCAACTGACTTGCACTCAAACTTCCAGCTGATGGAAGCAGAGGACGATCCCTCTTTTCGGGCTAAATAAACCTAAATGGAAAGAAGACATAGTCAGCCTGTCAAAAACTGAGATGACCAAGACACATCTAATTAATTGTCTTAAGGACAGAAAACGTTAAGATAACACACTCTTTATAAAGCCTCTGAACCTTTAAAACTGTACATAGTACAATTTTGTATACAATCTCATTCTGAATCCTTAAGTCTTTTCCACAGTTAGGTGATTGTACATGTTCATAGTCCTTCACTAGGGAACAGTAATCTATTTCAACATGCTTGGCAAAGTTTAAGCCACAAAAGTAGCTAAGTTTATTATTTTTAAAAAGGCAGACTTCTGTTTTTTATATAAATACACAGGCCCACATAGTTTCACTTTGGTTGTTCAGTATTGCTGATGAAGAAAACTCTGTAATCAGTATTTTGGATTTTTCATAGGTGGCTTCTGGCTGCACACCACTTCTAGGACTTGACATGTCTTAGTTAAAGCAAATCATACATGCTAGCCATATATAAACCCTGCATTAACATTATTTGAAGTGTTAAGAGATTTGCACAATTTAATGTAGTCCTGATGCTGTTCACCTGGCTGAATAGTCAAGGTCATACGTTAACATCCATTGAAGTTACCATGAAGCCTCAAAAGAGTTTGTACTAAGTGTCCGATGATGCTTTCAAGTCTAGCATCTATTATTGGCAAACCAAGATAATCGACATTACAGATTAAGGAGTCAAAACTGCCATGATCCTTTCAGAATCCTTAGTTAAGAAAACTTATCAAAATTCTGTCGTGTCCAGGCTTTTGATTAATGTCATACTGCGTGGACTTAGATAGCTCTTTAGTTTTTAATCCAGAAAGAACAACCTTGAATAAAATGATAATAAAACACAGTAGTATGTTTTACTAAAGATCCCACCCTAATACAGAAAAGTCACTGACAGACTATAAACCAGAATCTTAGTGTAACCATGTACAAGGCATAAAAACATTAATTCTCCTGTTTCAGAAAGTTATAAAACCCCAAAGATGTCAGGAGTTACACTGAAGATTACCTAGAAAAATGTAACAATTTAACCTGCTTTCATGTGAATATAATCTTAATGTTGATGAAAGTGCTGATCTCCACACAATTTTTTTTCAAGTACCTCAGTAAGAGATTTCCCTTGATCAGATCCTACTGAATTGCCATATTTGAGTAAGAAAGCCAAAACACTCCATTAGTTACTACTCAGTTGAGGTGCACTAAACTTTTAGAGATAAAAAACTAAAACATTAGCCTGTGTTATCTTCCATTATAATATCCAAGAATGTAATCAGAAAAATAGAAGTTCAAGTTTCCTTTTGCGTCTTTTTGACTGTCCTCTAACTTTCACACCTGGCTACTCTTTTTCCAGTATTATCTAAAAAGAGTCTGAATTCAGGGGAAAAAAACAACCAACCAACCAAACAAACAAAAAAAACCCACAACTCATTCAAATTCTCCCACTGGAGCAATTCTTCTGGAAAAGAAGCTTTCAGAAATCCATGGATTTCAGACCTAGGAGTTCTTACATTCTGATTATCACCTACTGTAGCCTGCTTGTTTGACCCCTGGATGTCAAGTTACTTCTAGGTAATCTGACTACATTTGTGTTTTGGATCTGTTTTGAGTTTTTATGAAAGTCAAGTGACACTGAATAGCAAGAAAATACACAAATACACAGATACGATGGAGATGGCTACTAACAGATGGGCCAGGATGATCATCTAGCTGAATCAGTTTGATAACAACACTGCAAAGACAGAATATACAACCAATGGTTCTGTTACTACTGGGATAATACCTATAGTTACCTTTACTGCAGCTGTTAGATTTAAATTCCTTTCCATTCATCACACACTAAATGATAAAATATTTCTGTGAAGGCTTCTTTGGCTGGCAAGTTTCTTGGACAGCTGCTGAATCAAACTCTGAATCCATGCCTCTCAGATCTACTAGAGGCATTACAAAGAGAACATTCGAACTCTTGTCTTGGTTTTGACGGGGTCGGAGTTAGTTTTTCCTTTCAGCAGCTAGAAGAGCTCTGGGTTTTGGTTGCAGTCTGAGATTCGATATGAGAAGAATGCTGATAGCACACTGATTTTTATAGTTGGCACCGAGACATCAAGGACTTTTCAGCTTGCCGTGTTCTTGCCAGTGTGCAGGAGCACAACAGGCTGGGGGAAGGACAGATAGGACAAAAGGTCCACAACTTCCCTTATGATTTGAATTTAGACTTAGGATTGATGGCCAAATTAGCCAATGGAGTATTCCGTATCATGCAATGTCATGCTCAGTATACAGATGAGGACTGACCAGGAAGAAGGGCTCTCCTCCCTGTTTTATCTGATTAGTAGAGCTGAGCAGAACAACAGACATAACTGTTTCAGTACAAAGACAGTATATCTCTTGCAAAAGTGAGAATAACTCACCATTGGAGACTTGAAGATATAAGGTGCTATCAGATTTTTAGCAGATCCTAGGGAAGCAGAGAACAGTTGTCCCTCATTCTGAGCTTTTGTTACTCTCTACCCTGCTGTAACATCTTTTTGTATTATTCTCCAGTTTCTTCTCTTATTCACTTTTATGTAGAGTAACCTCTCCAAGTTATTCCCCCATTGCATTTTGGAAGTCAGTCACATATAGACCCAGCACAGAAAAGCTCAGAAGACAGTCATACACTCATCCCATTTTTCATCAGTGGAAAGCAAACCATTGCCTGAGCTAGAAGAATGTTTGGCCAGAGACCTTTCGGACTACTCAAATGACACAGGAACAAAGTAATAACGGGCTCTAGTCCCTGACAAGAACACTCAGATCCACAGTTGGTAGCTGTCATGGGAAAAGCTGTTTGCTAGCAAATGACCCCTTCCCACCTTACAGGCATCAGTTCTCCTCTTCTTAGATTTAGAGCATATGACTCTTCCGCTGCTCAGTGTTCTGACAGATGGGAAGGAGTCTGGGCATCTCGATAACTGACAGGTTTTTGCCTCTTGCAGATGGAATTGTAATATTTAGGATGACAATTCCTTTCCTTTGGCTGTGTGTCAAAGAGGTATGATACACTATAAAGCTATTCTCCAAAACAAAACCAAAAAAAAAATCTTTTTTGGAGAGAGGAGTACTGCTTTTCAGTAAAACAGTATCGTGCATTTGCCCAAAATCATAAGGAGGAAGCCACTTTTAAAAATTTGGTGCTTTAGCAAGGACTTTACCTATCTGTAGAGAATTCTGTTATCTTTTCTGAAAGACAGGTTAAATTTCTTTCTAATTTCTTAAATCATCTGGCAATCTTACCTGAAGCTTAACAGTAACATTTACTAACATCAGCTAAAGTTTATGGGCGCCAAGAGAGGTTTTGATGCCAAACATTGGCAAGGGTTTACTATTTTATTAGAGTTATCACACTTTAAGGGCAGATTCTACGCTTTTCATAACTCCTATCCTTACCATTTTCCAATCTGTTTCAACCTTTCTCCAAATAGACTCTGTTTTCCAAACACCTGTTTCCCAGCCAGTTATTTTTTCATTATTATTGGAAATACGGATATAACTATCTTCTACTATATTGTAGATGAGGTGGAAGAGTTTAGATGTCTTCTCCTTTTCAGAGGGAATAAAAATTACTTCTTTTCTTTCCTGAAAAGGCAAAAATACAAGAATTTTCATTCCCTGATACATTTCAGTAAGACTATGTTACTTTTAAACAGTATGCCACGGTTTCCCAATTCAGTTTTGCCGCCAATTGAAAAAAAAAAAACAACAATTTTTAACAGAGGTCACGGACAAAAGCATTTCTGCAGAACTAAAGTTTTAAAACAGTTTCCTACAGTAGACCTGCACCTTTTCCAGAGGGGAGCAGTAATTTTATTCTTAAAATTTTCACATAATTACTTTTAGAAGTAAATTATTGACAAAATAACATAAAATTAGCAAATTTAAGCATGACATTAACATGTTAGGAATAGAAAACTTATATGTTGAGTATATTTCTTATACAATCAATCAGTAAATGGTTATTTTGAATAGCAAACAAAATTCTTTGACTATCAGATACAGGTGCCTGTATACGAAAGTTCACAAATCAACTTCAAAACATACCAGGTACAAACAGTATTAGTTTGTTTGTTCACATTTTTTTTAAAGATTTGCCATTGTTCTTCTGAGTTTCAGCAAAGCAGAAATTAAATCTTCTGAACTATAGAGAAGTGAAATAAACTCTTAGTTACTCAAACTTAAACAATCCTATGAAACTCATTAATTTCACCTAACTGGTTCTATTTAGGATTGTCAGTCATTCTATATGACACGATCACTACAAAATTGACATAACAAGTGATGGGCTAAGTCACACCTTGTCATGCTGGCTCAAGTTAAATATGGCTATGGTTCTGAGAAACTGCATCTTAGCATAAAATAATTAAAAATAAAATCTGCTTTTGGAAATAGTCAAAAACATCGATACGAAAATGAATCAAAATTATTATTTAAGAGATTGTTCCATTTACACAATCCCAATTTATCCTACATTGTTTTATTAACAAAAATAGTTGGTCAAAGCCTGCTTCTAGACTGTAAACAATAGTAACTAATAACATATAAATATTTTTTTAAATTCTCCTAATTACTTTCAACTGCTTTAAACATTCTAGTTCTGTCACACTCTAACTAATTAAAAAGAGTATTTTTTTATTAACTAGTCAGAGCAAAACACACTTTAGATCAAGAATTCCCAAACATTTTTAGAATCAATGGATCACCATCAATCCTCAAAATATTCTTACGGACGTCTACTGAATTCACATCAAACTCGCACCTCATGTTTTTGCATTTCACTGTTTGAACTGAATCTGTAGGCTACCTACCATAAGTGCTACTTCTCTGCAGATCATAATCATAGAACCTCTAGTTAGCTACCTCTAAGGTGGTCACCAGTGCAAAAGTTAAATACCTCTGGACCAATTTCACCTCTGGCTACTCGCCAAGCCATTGAACCTGATGTCCTTCCGCCATATTCTCCAGGTTTAGGCGTTTTAGGAGAAATGAATTCAACAAGCTCCACAATCATTCTTTCCAAGAGCTCTCTTTTTCTATTTTCTGACAAAGATCGTTGTCTCTGAAAATACATTTAAGAAATAAAGTAAAAAATTCAGAAAAAAGGTATGTGTAACTCTGCTTTAGAGTGACTCCAACAGGGGAAAAAAAAGAATTGAACAAACAGACTAACATTTAAAGTCTAGACTGACTGTTAGAAACATAAATCTTACACCACATGTGCAAATATAAATCACTCATAACTTCATGGTTATTCGACACAGCGATGCTATTTCTGTGAACTTGCATGCACTAGATATGTGCATTTCTTTTAAAATAAGGCTTGTGCTATGTTTATAATGCATTTGCTTGGATGATAAAGCACACATGAATAGCTAGAAAATATGCTGTGGATCCCGTACCATAGCTGTTCTTGATATTATTTGGGGGAAAGAGAAAGCAAGCATAATTATTGGGTCAAACTTTTCTTCTCTAAGGTAGAATGATTTGGTTGGGAGCAGGCTTGGTTTTGTGATTAAGTCCAAACAAAAGATTCAGTTGGTTTCTGTAAGAGTTATTTCACAGTGACTGATTCTATCATAAAAACCACTATGACATTCACATTTTTGTAGATATCAGAAAACTGAGAAAAACATATTACCTACACTTTCAGGTAAATTATTGGAAAAGAGAAAGAATTACATAACACACTTACTTTGCTCACATGAATAAAACTATAGGTATTTCTTTTGGTATGCAAATTAAAAAAATTGAGAGGCTGGGATTTTGTCTCCGTGATTTTCACGTCAATTATACAGAGCTGCTGCTATATGAAGTCTTTTTCCTTAACTGTGGATGCACCCAGACAGGGTTGGAAAATTAAATTCAACCAAGTATGCAAATGATTACACATCATCTTTTTTTTCTACTTTGGTAATCATCCAAGGCATGCACACTCAGCCCACCAGGATCTGAAACTTCAGGCCAATAAGCATTCCAATTACCTCAAAAGCAGCCCTGACCCCAAAAAGTTTCGCTATTAGGGATCAGAAAAGAGGCATTTGAAGGGTTTTTGTTCCAGACAGCAATGTGGAACTAGGTAAAGGAAAGTAGATACAGAGAAATGATGAGAAACAGCTCTAGTTGAACAAATTCCAGCTGCCAAATACCAGCTCTAACACAGCAAGGGGGAAATACACCTTGTGTGTTGATGGATGACAAGCAGTGACTCCAGCAGTTCCTCGTGAAACATCAGGCCGTCCTGAATCTCACACTTGCCTAGGCACTTTGCGTAACCATATGCAGTACTACAGATCTCACTCCATCTCAGAGAAAGTCTGGTATGACCTACCCTAAGTTAACAATACCAATCTACAACTCTCCTCGAGTGACTTTGATGTAG